GAATTTATCTTGAGGCACTTTGATGAATACGAAGGCCTCTGGTTTCATTATTTTGGAAACTTCTCTGCCAAGTTAATCCAAAGCCCATAGTGTGACCACGTGCAAGCTTTCACATTAGGGAAACGAGCTTTCGACACTGAAAGGCTTATAATACTTTTGAAAACTGCGTCATACTTGTGAAGCCTAGCCTGGTTCTTGCTAGAAACTATAGCTCACATTTTCAATTAGTTCCATGTAATCAGATGTCTCTCGTCGTATGCTTCGGCATTAAGAAAAGTGTTGGTCGCATATATGAGATTGCCATCTAGTGAGGGAAATGTGTGTAATGTATTTCACTGTGAGCAATTCAGCCAGGATACATGTACGTCCCTTGTCTAACTTTGCTGTACTAGAATGCTATATTTTTACATACTGCTGCCAAATCCGTTGCGGATTAAGGGAAATGGTGTTCAACTTTAGCAGTGACAAGTAAATTGCTTCAGAAGTTATGGTGTGCTGCTGAAAAGTTTGAAGAAGTTCAGAAATTTTCTTCTAAAAACTTCCATTTTGACATATCAGCGTTCTCCATTAACGGTAGGCGGACACATTTGGTGGCTATGATTGTTGCGTACATTTCAGAGGCTGTATTATAGCTAAATAGAATCCATGTATATTGACTTCATAGAATTTGGAGGAAATCAAAAAACCGTTATTTGAGCCCTTCTCCGCAAGCGCGATCGTGCTGACATTCTAATATAATATTTCTTTTTTTCACTTGTAGCTAGAGAAAACGCTAATCTGCTGAAGCTCCTTCTTAATGTGCTTGCTTTTGATTTGCTTTAACGTATACAATATTGGGCATTGTCGCTACGCGTAGAGTATTGTCATTTGTAGAACAGCCCAGAAAATCTTTAATCTGCAAAGAAAAATTTGGGAACTGAACCGTTTTCATTGTCGGAGGAAAATGCGCATATGTTAGCTTATCATACCCTTACCCACTACACGGTTTTACATAGGTAAATTTTAGACACTGCGGAGATGCGAATCATAGAACATGTTTTTTCGAGCATGACTGGATCTTGACAACTTGTGCTTTGGGGCTTAAAATTTTGTAGCTGAGAAGTATTCTAATGAGATATGGTAAGCATTGAAAAAAGCAAAAAATTTTCTTTTAAATGTTGTTCATTATAATGCAATAAGGCAAATGTTTTAGAAATAGCCGCGTTGAACCTTGGCATCTGAAAATCGGACAGAAATTTCGGAACAGTTTAGTTAACCCTCGAAATCGTGTGAGCATCCATACAGCTGAATCTCTTGCGATAGCTTCTTTGTGGGTCTGGGCTTCATCCGGTGTCTTCTATATACTACAAAAGTACCGTACAAATACATTCAAAGTTTTCTTACTGGGTTGCAACATAATCACAAATGTTGGCAGTATTCGAGAGATCTTTTCTTTTTTTTCATGACACGTAAGGTTTTTTTCAATGAATATTCATTGCTTTTACAATGATCGATTCAAGGAGGATCGGCTTTGGCAAGAAGGAACGAAACAAAGCGACATTGCTTGGGATACAAACATTTTAATAAGCAGATACAGAAAACAGAAGACAAGGGTTTTATTGACCCCTCTCCGTTGTTGTGCTTCGATACTGTGAGCCTCTAAAAATTGTCTGCTATTTTTCTTACCGATACTTAACAACGAGAAGAAGTTTATGTTGTAAACGTAAACAAACACGGCTCTACTGACTTCCTTATTGCTGTCGCTGTTGTTTATCTATCTTTACACTTCTTTCGAATTTCAATTTGTCAAAGTGATTTCTGGACACGTGGTATCTGTAAGAAAGTTATAGCACACAAAAATGTTGTGGGGACACTCGATTGGTTCACTTGAAATGAGAGCTGCCTGCCTGAAAGGTTTTTGTTTTGGCCATCAATACATCGTAAGAGCCGCTGTTAGAAAATGCCTATTTAAGTCATCAGATCAGCAGCCTGCATCAACGCATATATGCGTTTTTGCAGGGCCAACGAGCCAGCTGAGTGACCTGAACACTGCTTTAAAGCATCACCCTCCACGGGTGGATTGTCACGTACATTCTGTTCCCATATGGATCAGCCCAAACTAGTGTGACGCATCCGATCGCCACGGTCCGCGTCACGCCAAGTATTATGAGTAGCCTTCTTGAAGGCCCATCCACCCAAAATGACGTCTATGAGATCTCGATGTCTGACAGTTGCGGGACTCTCAACTGTATAACTGTACAACTCGCGCTCTCTGAAGTTGCCTCCAAGGCGAGGAAATAGCTTCGAAAATCCTTCGGAAGACGGTTTCGTCGTATTGATTCCTCCCAGTGATTTCGTGATTTCGTCTAGCAGACGCATTGCTAAAGAAATCGTTGAATCATGAGGAAGTGCGTCCCCGCCCTGCTATGTGCCCGCAGCTGACCCGCGGCTGACCGGCAGGCGCAAGGAGTGCTCGTTTACTGCGGATTCTAAAGGGCATCCAAAATTCCTTTCCCTTGGTTTTAGGCCTGGATTCGAACTCAACGGGTGCAAGAGGTGCTAAAAAGGACAAAAACTTAAGCTCGAGGATTTGAGTGGACGGTGCCTTTAATGCCTGTCTGTCCTCTCCTCATTCTCTTCGATTCCCTGACAATGCTTTGAGCGCGCACCCAGCGCAAACCAAGGCCCGGCATTCGTTAGATAGATTTTCTGAAAACGAAGTCCACCATGGTTTTCCCAATTTTTACGAAGTCCTCACTGACGCAAACTAGTAACAAAACAACAGTAATCTGCAACAACAACAGCAACATCAAAAAAAGAACAATCGTCGCCAGTTAAGGACGCCTTGGCAGGTATGGGATGTGATGAAGCGCCATATTCATCAATGCGTATGTTTACACTATCTTTGGTTCGCAAAAAAGGGGGAGAGGCAACGGTTTGATTTTCTCACTTCACTATATGATAGAATTTTGAGCGTTCTAATCGTCCAAATCAAAAAGGCTCAAAACTTATGTGAACTTTCCATATTTATGCTCCGAACCAACCCAGTTGTTTGATGTTCTAGAAACCAACAAATTCGGGAACGGGTATGGAACATACAGGGTGTCCCAAAAAAATGTGCCTACTGTTTGATTGTAAATAACTCTCTTGTAATGAAGTGTTTCGAGAAGCTTTAGGAACCATTTTGTAGAGCGAGGATAAACTTAGATTTACAGTATGGAGCGAATCATCTATCATTCTTCACTACTGTAGAATTACGGTACGAATTTCGACAAGGATTTTAGGCCATTGGAGGCCATATTCTGTCTCGGAACAAAACCAAACAAGACAAAACTCTTATACTACGGTAATGGAAGCTACCGATTTCGAATTTGAAATTCCCATTTTACTGTGATGCTTCTTTCCTAAGTTATTCCCGGTAAATCGTTATAATTCAATTTCCAGCATCTGTCAGAAATGCAATTACACCGTCAAAAAAGCTGAAAACACTCGTAAAAGTTGTTAGATGGAATCATCATGTGCGAAAATCCTAGCACACAATTTTTCAGACTTTTTGAAAAAAACTTTGTTGGGTGGTTTATTTCACAGTGGTTCCATATGCTGGAAGTTCTTACCGTAATCCTACAATAACGAAGAGCGATGGATGATTCGCTCCATACTGTAAATCTAAGTTGAACCTCGCTCTACAAAATGGTACCTAAAACCACGAACAAACAGTAGGCACATTTTTTTGGGACACCCTGTATAAGTTTCTAAAACTTTTACATAATGTACTTTGGAGTAATATTGTATACGTACATCCATTTATGGATATCATGTCATCCTCTTACATGACTGATACCATATTAATGCGATTACGCCTCAGGCGTACACCTAACACAGTCTTACTAGAGCGTTTATCTCAATAAACACAAACAACTCGCAAATACAGGGTGTCCGTAAAGTATGTATAAACTGTTTGATCGTTAATATCTTTCTTTCCAACAAGTCTTTTGCCTTGCTTCAGGTACCATTTTGTAGAGCTGGTTCTACTTAGATTTACAGTATGGAGCAAATCGCCGACCGCTCTTCATTACTGTAGGATTACGGTAGAAACTTGAAACATATGGTGTCAATGTGGAAAAAGCTACCGTCCCAAAATTTTTCAAGAAAATGTGAAAACTTTGTATGGTAGGGTTTTTATGGACTCCGAGTTTAATAAGTTGGGAACTTTACAGTTTGAATCAACAACTCTAATTAGCCTAGTGTAGAAGCTTTCAGGCTGTTTTGTTCCCTATCTGAGGCAAAATATGACCTTTCATGGCTCAAAACCCTCCTTGAAGTTTCTACCGTAGTCCTACGGTAATGACGAGAGGTAGATGATTCGTTCTATAATGCAAACCTAGGTTGAAGTCAGCTCTACAAAACGGTACCTGAAGCAAGGCAAAAGACTTGTTGGGAAGAAAGATATTAACGATCAAACAGTGTATACATACTTTACGGACACCCTGTATAACACGCCGGTAATACAAAATGACAGAAACACAACAAGAAAGAGGGATTGGAGCCCAAAGACGTGGTGGCTGGTCGTAGGTTCTTCACTGATTCGCGAGACTCCTCCTCTGCTTGGCTTCGTTGCGCTTCGAGCTATCGTTGTGCCATCTTTAAACAAAGAGTATGGGAATGAAGAAAGCGTACGGTATTGCACAAATGATAATGGGAAAAGACAAAAAGGAAAGGAAAAGAATAAGTGTAGGTTTACATACCGGATATATACAGATATATACTTCTATTTACCAATTATGGATATGCTGCCACCCTCTTGATATCAGGTACCATACTAGATCATAACTTAGCTTCGGACATGTCCAAAAACACTTTCCAACATACGCGTTTATCATTATAACACCAAAACAACAAGAATATCGATATCCCGGGAAAACAAACAACAACAAAGCATAAGGATAAAGAGATCTGAGCCTATAGACGAGGTGGCTCGTTGGTCGTCGGTTCTTCACTGTCTTGAAGCCGCTCCTCCCTCCTTATCTAGTGGCATCTGGCGAGCGAGGGCTGCGGTAATCTGTAAACAAAGTATATGGGAAACGTAGATGATTACACTACTACATGAAAATGATCAAGGGAACTCATTAGGAGAAAGCAAAAGAATAAAGTATGAGTATAGGTACCTGATAGATATAGCCGTAAATACTTACATCTCCGCCATCGGTAGAACTGTTTGGTTCACGGGCTGCAAACGCAATGTCTGCCAACGCGTTATTTCTGGCGATTAGCGCCGCAATATGAGCATCTTTCTCCTCTAGCAGAGATTGAGTGCGCGCACTAGTGATATCTGGCGCTGGCGTCTGCTCTCCTGCTAACACATTGGATCTGTCGTAACTATCTGGTCGCTGATGCGGGATTGAATTACGTTGCGCAAGGGGTCTAGAGTATACGCTCTCTTGGACTTATAATGGATTCAACAAAATATACTACACCGATAATATAAACACAAAATCTAGCTACAGAAATTACACCATTTCAGATTTATTGTATTATATTGATTATATTCTTGATAACAGTTTTTGCAGATTTAGCACATCCATTTTTAAACAAAAAATAGGTGTGCCACAGGGCGGTAATTTTAGTCCATTATTAGCAGACTTGACACTATCTTGGTATGAATACAAGTATATAATTATTAGAGTAAATAACAATAAAGAACTTTTTGCATTTCGTTATATGGATGATCTATGTATTAATCATACACAATAGCACAGAACATACAATTCATAATATAATCAAAAACATATATGATAACAAACTAAGTTTGGAAACTACTCATATAGATAATTTACAATGTAATTATTTAGACTTACATATTACAATCATTAATGACAAAATAATAACCAAAATGTATAACAAAACTGATAGTTTCCCTTTTCAAGTAAAAAGATTCATACATATTAGTTCTGGTGTATCCAAACACATCAAAAACGCAATTATTTACACAGAAACGTTAAGAATTGCCCGTACTTGCACTTATCTTGACGATTTTATCAAAAAAATAATACAACTACTAAATTTACTTATTTACAATGGATACAATGAAAATATGATTTACTCAAATATTAGGTTGGCTAGAAAGTTCTTGCGTAATTCAAACAAAATTTAATAACTTTTCAATGACTAAACCTAAATTCACAATCTTGTTCTGTAAAAATATTAAAAGGCCTGCGCTCCATGATGGATGTTTAAGCGCAAGATTTCATGAGCTAGTCCCAGAGAACGAAGCTCTCAAATATGGAACTTCAAAATTTGCAAATTTTGAGTTTGGTGCCAGAAAATCGCAGAGTGTCCCTAGCTAGCCGAAAAAAATCTGTAAAAATTGCTTACACTGCAAAAGCCCATACGTTATTTTAGCAGGCTTCAAACTCGCATGGGAATGCGAAAACAAAAAATTTGTGGAATTTGTCATTTTACAGGATAAATCCCCTTATCGATGTAGTTTTTCCACAAAAACACAGTTTGCAACCAGAAACAGGACATATTGCCTATTTAGAACTTTGCGACGTTTTTTGGAGTGTAAAAAATAGTTTTTGCCGAAAAACTGCGGTAATGAGTGGATTTTTTCCGCAAAATGACTATTTCACGATATTTTGTTTTTGCTTCACCGTGCAAGATCAAAGCCTTCCAAAGTAACTCATGGACTTCTGCAGTGTAAGTAATTTTTACAGATTTTTTTCGGCTAGCTAGCGACACTCTGCGATTTTCTGGCACCAAACTCAAAATTGCAAATTTTGAAGTCCATATTTGAGAGCTTCGTTCTCGGAGACTAGCTCTGAAATCTTGCGCTTAAGCATCCATCTTGGAGCGCAGGCCTTCTAATATTTTTAGAGAACAAGAATTGTGAATTTAGGTTTAGTCATTGAAAAGTTATTGAATTTTGTTTGAATTACGCAAGAACTTTCTAGCCAACCTAATATTTTCAAATGCTTACATAAAAATCAA